GAGATCTGGATTTGGGCTGTGTGCAGAGATTAAACCGAACTCAAATAGTCAAGCCAGTCATATTCTACAGAACTGCTATAACTGATCAGCAAAACTGACTTATATTTTCCTGAGCTGAAGTCCACTGTAATGGGCCAGACATGAGGAGATCATTCCAGTGACACTCAAGATCATTTGTTGCCTTGTTACTATCCTCTAACTCTCTTTGTGGACTCAAACTAATAGAGAAGATATTCAGGTAAGTAAATTATCTTTCTTTCCAATCAGGCAAAATAAGAGAGTGTCCTAAAATCTCAACTTCAATAACAAGAGATTAACTGGAGACATACAAACATGTCTTGAATCTTGCACTGATGCCAGGTTGGAGGTTTATAAATAAAAGAAATAATGTCATTTTTGAGAAACAAAGAATAGTTGAATTTCAGACAGAATATATTTCCTATAGTGAGGTATATAATGTGGATGTATTTTAAAGAATAGAACAGGAGTTAACAGAAAGGTGAGGGGTAGCTCAAGCTTTAAAAAATAAGCAGTCAGGGTGCTTGGGTGGCTCAGTCAGTTAAGCATCTAACTCTTGGTTTCGGCTCAGGTTGTGATCTCAGGGTCTTGGGATTGAGCCCCATGTTGGGCTTCATGCTCAGAGGGGAGTCTTCTTCTTCTTCTTCTTCTTTTTTTTTTAAAGATTTTATTTATTTATTTGACAGGGAGAGACACAGTAAGAAAGGGAACACAAGCGGGGGTAGTGAGAGAAGGAGAAGCAGGCTTCCGGCAGAGCAGGGAGCCCGATGCGGGGCTCAATCCCAGGACCCTGGGATCATGACCTGAGCTGAAGGCAGACGCTTAATGACTGTGCCACCCAGATGCCCCTCAGAGGGGAGTCTTCTTGAGATTCTTTCCCTCTGCCCCGCACACCACCCCCGCACCATGCACATGCTCTCTCTCTCAATCTAAAATAGACAAATCTTTAAAAATATCAGTAAGTGTCTGCTTTTAGCTCAGGTCATGACCCCAGTGTCCTGGCGTCAAGCTCCACGTCGGGATCCCTGCTCATGAGTTGGCTTCTCCCTCTTCCTGTGTCCCTCCCCCCTGCTCATGCTCTGTCTCACTCGCTCTCTCTCTCTCTCATATAAATAAATAAAATCTTTAAAAAATAATAATAAATAAATAAGCAGTCAAAAGTGACTTTCACACAGTATCTCTTATGGAATGCCATTCTGTGTCTCACTTCTGTTAAGAAGCTTGAGTCATTTCTTATTTGCTAAGAATGCATTCTCACCTACCTCTTTTCCTGGGAGGTATGAGAGTACATGAATATTTGACTCTTTTTAATTTTGTTACCCATGGATCGACTGATTGATTGATTGATTGACTGATTGACTTATCCATTAATTTGACAAATATGAACTGGAACTATTTCAGAATCTGAACCTATGAAGTTAATAAAACAGAAGTCTTTAACCTCAGGGAGCTTATGTTCTAGTTGGAGCAAGAGGCAATAAACAAAACAAATAAGTATAGTGTATCATACAGTAAATAGTGACAATTCCTAAGTAGAAAAAGGCAAATTAGAAAAAACAAATGCTGTTTGTAATCCCTTTGAGAAAGACATCATATAATTCCTTTTACTCAGTCAACTAAAACAAATTAATACTTCCAATGTAAACATTGCAGGCTACTACAAAACTAAGCTAAGCAATGAAACCAAAGCAAGTAGAAGTTAAATGTAGGGAATGAAAACGTTTCACCAACAATGTATTTCTTTTTTTTTTTTTTTTAATTTTCCTTCTCTAGTTGTTTACCATTATCTTATTTAAGAGCCATATTTGGTACTCTATTTGAAACTCTAGTCTTCAATCGATGGAAGATAAACGTGTAGAAAGGTTAGAATATCCGCCTTCTGTGAACATTTTTTTTTCCTGTATTCTACAAGCAATTTTTTTTATTCTAAAACAAGTGAACTTGGCGCAATTCTAAATATCAAATATGATTAGTTAACATTAACGTAGACATACAATCTAACTTGTTGTTGTTCAGGATCTTATCATGAAACTTTGTCTTTACATCATTACAAGAATTGTGGAAGCAGGTTGACTATTATATTTATCTGTGTTTGCAATAGGAATACATGAAGTCTAGGACTGGATTAATGCGTTGGGTTGGATTGTCCCGCAAGAACCCTAATGAAGTCTGGATGTGGGAAGATGGCTCTGTGCCCTCCAAAAATGTGTAAGTTAATGGACATTCAGAATACAAGGCACAGCTAGCAAATTTTATTCTTGAGATCCTCTACCCTCTTGAAGGCACACTACTTAAAAGTTGAGAGGTGGCTCGATGACCTACTGTGTGCTACAGAAACAGCAGCACACTCACTGACACCCTACTCCTAATGAGTGAACCCTGGTAATAAGACAATTCTACTTTACTTACTTTCCCATTCCTCTGCTCTTTATCTAAGTCACAATCCACCTCTATTCCCAATATTTTTCCCCATTCAGTTCTACCCTCAAATTTACCATTAGAACGTGTGTGTGTGTGTGCGCGTGTGTGCGTGTGTTGCTTGATCTGATTCTCTTCACATTTTTCTAGAACCAAATGATCATTCTTGTTATTTTATGGTTGAAAGTGATTGCTTTGAGGATTCTTTTGGCTTTTCAGTATCATTTTACCTACTCTTCCTCCCTAGGGGTCTCCAAGAATCAGGCACACCATCATTCACAAGGTGTTTCTAATGTTCGTATCATAAGGCTCCATCCTTGTACAGACAATCCAGGCAAAGGAGGCATTTTTTTATGTGGCTTTCCAATCTCCAATCTAAAGACCTTTGCCCATCTTGTATATCAAAACTGAAGGTCTCTCCAGTCAAAATTAAAACTGATAACCACAACCTGTACAACCTGATCATTACTTAAAATTTCAATTCATTTATTCAACAGATACTAAGTATTTACTATGGGTAAATACTATGCGCAAAGGATACTGCAAGTACAAGCAGACTTCTTCATAGATCTTGAGCTTTATCTCCTATCATTTCCTGCCTCATTCACAATATTGCAGGCCAACTGGTGAACCCTCTGTGCTTTCAACAAATTAAACTTGTTTTGTTGTCTTAGGGCTTTTGTACTTCACTGTTTTCTTCTAGACTGTTCCACTTCCAGAACTCCATGATGGGCTCCCCCTTGTGACTCATGTGTCTTTTAAACATCCCTTCCTCAATGAGGTTGACTTTAATTACCCAAACTAAATTAGCTTCCTTCCACACACCCCCACTCGAGTCCATTATCACGCCATTTCTTTTCTTCGTAACTCTTACCACTCTCTGAAATTTTCTACTTGTTGGCTTCTTACCAATATCCTCTTACTATAATGTAAGTTCCCCAGTAGAAGAGACCGTGTCCCTGTTTACTCTATCAATATCAGCACACAAAACAACTTTGGCACATAGTAGGTATCCCATGGATATTTGGCGAATAAATTAGATCTATACATTTTTGTTCTCTTGTCATAAGCAATGCAGCGGGGAATATAGACAAGTTAACAGGCAATTACAATAGAGTGTGCTGCCTTATTTCTGCTACCCTACAACATAAATCCTCATTTCAAAAATATTTAATCAACTTTCTTTTCCTTGAGCTCCTTCCCACTCTGTACAGCTACTTGCCCTACAGGGCTCTCCCATCTCCTCTCTGTTTATCTAAATCCTACCCTTCTTTCAAGACAGAACTAAAGTGTGATCTTCTATGAAAAGATGAAAAGATAAAGCCTTTCCCATCATTTTCAAGATCCCATCCATCTCTTTCTCTGGGCTCCTATTGTGCTCCTGCTCACTTGTTCCTTAATCAATGCTGTACTAAATTGCTATTGAGTTACTCAGCTGTACATACTTAATACTCCCAAGCAGATGGAAAATTTCTCAATGATCTGAATGTTGTTTTTTACTTTTATCCCCATACTTTTTGTTTCCATTTTGTGAGACAAAATACTTTCATGCAGAGTTTGTTGACTGCTTATATAGCTTTTGAAGGAACTCATTCTACCTTTTCCATTCACAGGTTTCAGGTTTCTGGAAATGAAAGAGAAAATATGAACTGTGCTTATTTTTATGATGGGAAAATTTACCCGACCTTCTGTAAGAACAAACATCATTTGACGTGTGAGAGGAAGGCAGGCATGGTGAATGTGGACACATTACTTTAATGCAAAGAGATGAGCAGGATGTCATAGACAAGTGCTTGATTATACAATGAAAGATCTGGATGAAGTACTCACTAGCCATAAAATTGCTTATTATTCCCTTTATTCCCCTTGGAGTCATCTTTACCTCATCTTTTCTACCAATATCACCTCATCCTTTCTTTGTATATCCCTTTATACTAAGGGATGACTTCACCCCTTCTTTATACATCCAGAATCCTGTCTGTGAGTTGATCATTTGTTCTCAATTGTTCCGTTTCCATGGATTTTCTTTCTTCTTGTCTTCATTCCTAATTATCTCAGCATGGTATGATTCACCACATCTTCGGACATAAACATATACACTTTAAATTGAAATAAGAAAGGTTAGGAGTTAATTGACTCAAGTTGTGCAAAATATCTAAGTCTGAAAGACAGCATGAGGTAGTGGAAAGAATACTAAACCTGGAATCAGTAGAACAATCTAGATGGTGTGATTCCTTAATTAACGTATAACCGTGGACCAACTAGTCATGTAACCTCTTTACCATTCATTTTCTCATATTTCAAATAGAATAACACCCATTACTTCACAGCTGTACAACCTAACAAAACATGGGAGTAGTAGCTATGTCAGAAATTCCATAAAGGCCAACGTCATGGCTTTCCCATTTGCTGTTGTATGCCTGGCACCAAGCATGGTTCCTGGCTCACTGGAAACAGAAAAAAATGGTTGCTTTTCATTATGTGAGAAACACCACAATCTGTAAAACACTACACAATTATAATTTGGATTCCAGGTCCACCTTTGGTCAGATTCTACAGCAAGGGAATTAAAGTTTCCTTCTGGGGAAGGAAAATGAAATTTCTGTGCAAGGAACTTGATAGTGTTTGAAAATAAGAAAATACTTCTTAAGAAGGCCTATAGGCAAGTAGACAAAACAGCAAGTACAAATGTTTTATCTTTTCCTGACAGTTCTATGTTTGGTTTTTGCTGAGCAACTCATGAAGTATTTATGGATATGTGGTGAGGCAGCCTTTCACAGGATAACAGGCAAAAATTGCACTTCTTTCCCACAGCTTCCCTGAAGCTGCTTTTTCTTCTTACATTGGTAGTAACAAAATTTATGAATATGATTCTCAAACATCTCAACTGAGATGTTTGTTAAAACATGCAGATACTCAAGCACAAATACTCAAGGTTCTCAGTTGGAAGGCTGAGGAGACACTGAGACCTGGGCTTTTAATAAGCTCCCCTACCTGATTCTGATCAAGTACTTTTTAATACATTTTGAGAAAAGTTACATTGAAACTTACTCCCTATGTGGCTTTTGCTAAGTTACTCTGTTTCCTCATTTATGAAGTGGGCTTAATATTATTATTTTACTCATAGGTAATAGCGAGGATCATTTAATATAATATATAAAGCATTGACCAGAGCATCAAGCATGTAATAAATAATAAATATGTATTATTTTATACCTTTGAGCACTAATACTCAAAGACACTTGAATCATTGTCTTGTTTTAGACTATCAGTAAACAAGCAGATTTGGGGGGACTGAGGAAAAATAACATAGATACCTCAAATTCTGCTTCTACTTCAAATGTCTTGAGATCTTGGCTTTTGGGAGATAGTACATTACTGTTTTTTTTACTTGTTGATTTAGAGAAATGGAATAGGAAATAGTAATTCAGAAAATCATCCAAAAAACAACCAACCATGTCTCTGGACTTCAGTGTTTTATTACCCACAAATGGAAAAACATTTATTTATATATTACTATATGGCACAAGTAAATTTCAAAGAATAATATCTTAGTTTGTGACAAAAATGCAATTAAAAAATGTAAACCAACCAACTGTGCCTACAAAGATTCTTTTTTCTGGTACTCATATCAAAATCATCTTACACATGACATCAGAATAGCACAAATTTTAGTAGCACACGCTCCATGATCAGACCACCTAGTTTCAAATACTAACTCTTCCACTTACTACGCAAGTGAACTTCGGTAAATAATTTGTCTTCTCTGTGCTTCAATGTACAATTAAGTTACAATGTACTCATAACAGTGCTTATTTCACAGAGCTGTTTTGAGAATCAAAGTAATTCATGTAAAAACCTTTTGAAACAGTACTTGGAATGTAATGAATAATAAGTAACATGTAGTATGATATAAAACATCAAAAGCAAAGCAAGTAACAATAGTCCCTTATTGGAAGAGCCCAAAGTTTCCCCCAAAGAAATTTATCAGAGAATACATGGTATTAGAGAAAACTGGATCTTTCTGAGCTTGATATTTAGCACTGATAAAATTTGAGAGCACCTAGAAATTGATGACAACTCATTAAATTTCTGTTCCTGTGCTCCCAACATTAGTCTTAATGCCTATTTGGTATGCTTATGGTTTCTTCCTCTTTTTCTCCTCAAGGTAGAAATCATTACATAATGAAAGCTGCAGAGAGTTAAGTCACTTTATTTTTCAGGTCAGAATCTCAGGTCACATGAAAATCATTTGAAATATTTGGAGAATTTGCTGGATATTCTCCGTTTACCTCTTGAGATCCTCTTAACCCCACCCTGTGCCTTGTGAGGCAGAACTCAAGTGAACAGCACTGTTTGGGGCAACTTTCCTCTGGCTTCCAGTTAATTTAGCTATTGAGAAGTACTTGCAGTAATCAAAGGGTCAAAGGGTGAAAGGAGAGAGTGGTCAGGGTACTCCTCATTCCCTTGGCTCTCTCCCTACCATGCCATGTTTGGCAAAGGCTGCATGTTCCCTACCTTAGGCCATGGCCCCTATCAGATACCCTCCCCTTAACTCCTCAGGCGGAGGGGTGATGACATCGTGACAGCGCATAATTCACCACCTCTTTTTGTTCCAATTAATCTTTCCCCAAACTTTATAAACAGTGTCTTTTTTCAATGCCCTGAGATTACTCCTTGAGTATGTCATTTGTTTTTCTTTGCTATAGAGATCAATGATTGATTCAGGGAGATACTGAAACAAAAGAGAACATTGCAATTTTGCAGATTGTTGAGATTTGCAAACTATAAATTACCAAGACACGACCTTTGGCCATAAGGACAAATGGCCAATATGTGAATGATGATTAAAATATCAAGTTTCTTAATGCGATAGTCACAGGATGTGGCAGAAATGGCCGTCTATCCACTAAATAATTTATGCTTCTCATTTAGAGTAAAGTTGTCATCAAAAGTTTGCTAACCAGGCAAAAATTACATTTATCAGGCCCAGCCTCTTAGATCCAAACAAGGGCATTACATTAATGGATGTGGACGTGACACATGTTACTTCTAGTTTATGGCTTTCAAGAGGTCGATGTGGATTTGCCATCTTCTCTTTTCCTTTCTAAGGGACTCCAATGTCTCACAAGATAGAAGGAGCTTGGGTCCCATTTGGAGGAAATCTCTCCACTAACCAGGATTACGGGAGCTAAATTGTTATGTGAGCAAGAAATAATCTTTATTGTGTTAAACAACTGATTTTTTTTGAGACTTACTTGTCACAGAAACTACATTACCTTAACTAATATAGTGGGAAAATTTATTTTAGGGATGAAATCCCTTCCTAGAAGCTTTTTTGTTTAAGGATACACAGTGATCTACAGCTCCTTCACCGTGGCTTGTCCGATGTGAGCTAACCTCAGATCTTTGCTGTCTAAGTCGTCCACATGTTTCATGCCCTGTACCAAAATATAAGTGCATTGTTTGCATTGTTTGTCTATTCTTTTTATCTTGATAATAACCCAGTGCTATCACCTTCAACATCTGCTGGACTTCAGAACCCAGAGCAATAACCTATTTTACTTTAGGCCATTTCAAGTTCAGTTTCTTTTCTCGTTTCCTTCTTTAACAAGTTGTACACTGGCTTAAACTTCATAAACTTCTACTTTCTAGATGAAGATGCATCTATTGTATCCCTTAAACCCAAACGTAGTTTCCCACTGGTGTGAGAAGTAGCCAATTTCAGTTCTTTCACGAACCTGCTCCTACCACAAGAAGAGGTATCTGTCTTAGCTTCTCATGTGGACTGCCTTAGCTATCACAGCATCTCAGACATGCAGGAGGAAGAAACATACACCTCTCTTCAGTGGGATGATCCAACACCAAGCCCTTACCAGAAACATCTGTCTTCCACCAAATATTCAGGTAACCAGTTCTGATTATTTAGTCCAAGACTTTGAAGTTTATGCTTTGTTTCTTATTCCATGATGAGCCCAAGGTGACTTTTCTAATGATATAACCCACATATGGGTCTGATAATGTGCATTATATAATAACATTAAAAAAATAAGTGATGTGTAAGAGTAAGTAAAGGTGTAAAAGGAAAAAAGCAATGGATTTGACAAATATATAGTACCTTTTTTCCCTCTCTCTTGCTGGAAAGACAAAGAATTCTGGGATTTGGAAGATAAATGAAAGAAATCATAGATTTTTTTTATTATTTTAGTTCCTGCATAAAACGCCCTAAAAATTACCTGACAAACACTAGGAAATAAAGAGAAAACATAGGTTGAAAAACGGACAAAACTTGCCAGCCTGGAGCTGTGTGCTGTGGTGATCAGTTCTGGTGTTCTTATTTAACATGTGTATTAGCTTCTTATTATTTTAATAATAAATTACCACAGACCAGGGGGGTTAATACAACACAAATTTATTATCTTACAGTTCTAAAGATCAGAAGTCCAAAATAGGTTTCACTGGGCAAGCTGTTGTCAGGGCTACATTCCTTTAAGAGGCTCTAGCTAGGGGACAATCCATTTGTTTGTGTTTTCCAGTTTCTAGGGCTGCATTTCTTGCTTCACTTGGGCTCATGGCCCCTTCTTCCATCTTCAAAGCCAGCAGTGCTATGCCTTCAAATTTCTTCTTGCTTCCATCATCATATAGCACCCTGACCACTGACCTCTCACTTATAAAGGCCCAGATAAAACAGGATAATGTCCCCATCCCAAAATCCTTAACTTAATTACAGTTTAAAGTCTTTTTTGTCACATAAGGTAATATTTACAAGTTCCAGGGAGTAGGACATGGGCGCTTGGGACAGGGGCATTATTAAGCCTACCACATAATCTGAAGATAACTTTTATTTTTTCTCTGATTAGTGTTAAGAATATAACAAATCACAAATTCTTCATTTTTCTTTCCTGAATAGATGCAAAGTTACCTGGAAAAAAAGTGTTCCTCATTCAAAATTGTATGTTTAAAAGAAATATCTCTGAACCAATCATGTTCAAGTGGTGCTGAAAAGAGATGAGAGATGCACCACAGTGTTTCTCTTTTGAAAAATAAAACCTTGCTACCTGTTTTGCTATAGTCTCTAAAAGATTGTTGAAAAAGAATACATGTAACTAGTTAGTAAGCTTGCGATATTATATAAGGATAAGAGGAGTATGTTACTTAACCTATTGGATTTGACATCTTTCAAAATCCAGGGTGTTCTGGGGTACCTGGGGGTCTCAGTTGGTTAAGCATCTGCCTTCACCTCAGGTCATGATCCCAGGGTCCTGGGATCGAGTCCTGTGTTGGGCTCCCTGCTCAGCAGGGAGTCGGCTTCTCCCTCTGCACCTCTCCCTCCCCCTGCTTGTGTGCTTGCGTGCTCTCTCTCCCTCTCAAATAAATAAATAAAATCTTTTAAAAAAAAAAAAAAAGGTGTTCCAAGTTATAACTTGCATTTCAAAAAGTTGGAATTCTTTTTTCCTGTTACCACAGTTCCCATGGCCTCAAGGATTCTCTAGTAAGAATGCTCATTCTTTCTTTCACTCAGTCTAGTTTCATTCTGGCCCATCTCTTTCACTTACTTTCTCTAACTCAGTGTCATTGCCCCTATGCCTTGTTCAGGAGCATGGTGTCTGGTGATGGTGATTTCATGTATTCTCTGCGTGGGCTCAGTAACAACCTCTGTTTTCTTGGGGATCAAGTGTAAGTACAAAAGGATATCTTCAAAATAATCTATATACATATATTTCATATACTTTATACATTACAAACATACATATACACTGCATGTAGCTTTATATACAATTCTGTATATGTGTATCATTATAAATAAAATGTCATAATTTATAAATAGAAAAATCAATTAGAAACATGTAAATGCATATAACTGATGTAAAATAATGGCTTCCTATTTTTTTTTTATTTTTTGAGAGAGAGAGAGAGACAGTGCATGAGTAGGGGGAGAGACAGAGGGAGAGGGAGAGAGAGAAGCAGACTCTCTGCTGAGCAGGGAACCCCACTCAGGGCTTGATCCCAAGACCCTGAGATCATGACCTGAGCCTAAGTCAGATGCTTAACCAACTGAGCCACCCAGGTGCCCCTTGGATGCCACTTTTAATAACTTTTAAGGTTCTTTTGCAGTTTGTTTAACCTAACTCTAATGCCATAGAG